GGGCAGGGCTTGGGAAGCCACCCAGGGCCTCATGTTGCTGGGTTGCCAACAAGCACGCAAAGATTCAGAAACGCAGACAGAGCTGCCTTTGTCAGAGGGCCTTGTGACTGGAATTGTTCCACAGCTCCCCTTTCAGAAAAATGGCCGTTCTTCTGGGGCCCTGAATGTAAAAAGATTCCTGGGTGGTGACGGCGGGGTCTGTACACTCTCAGAAAAAAAGGTACAAAAGTTGTCACTGGGGCGGTACCTTTTCAAAAGGCACATAAAGAGTCCATACTGGTATTAGTACCTAAAGTGTACATATTAGTACGTAAAAGGTACAAAAGTGTACCTTTTGAAAAGGTGCTGCCCCAGTGACAACTTCTGTACCTTTATTTCTGAGAGGGGTGTCTAGTCAACTTTAGCCTTCATACTGCATGATGCTGTAGGGAAAGATCAAAAGATACTATTTTCATCTAATTCTCTTATTGCTTGGAAAATGTATAAAGCGCACAAATTCAGGAAACCATTAGGACATGTTTTGACATTAAGATAACCCAATGAGTGTTGTTGAACTTTTTCCATACTTTCTTATTTTTCATTCACTGAAGCACGAGACTGATTTCATGCCTCTAAAGCCTGAATATAGCACAAATCAATAGCATTTGGGACCATGTTGTGAAGAAGCATTTTATTGGTTGAACCTATTAAAGGGGTCCTATTATGCGTTTCACTTTTTCAACTTTAGTTAGTCTGTAATGTTGCTGTTTGAGCATAAAAAAGATCTGCAAAGTTACAAAGCTCAAAGTCCACTTCAAAAGGAGATATTTTATTTAACAGAAATCACTTTTCAAAAACTACAACGAACTACTCGTTTGGACTACAACGCATATTTTCCGGGATTTGTGATATCACAAATATCGACGAATGAGACGAGAACTGATTGAGCTGCACTAGAGAAGGCAACGAGTGTTATCACAATGTTGGAGACACGCTAGCTTTCCCAAGACAGACGGACTTAGAGTGGTTACAATCATCCGGGTTTAAATCGCGCTACAAAATCAAGACTTTGTAAAAGAGCATAATAGGCATAATTTAAACAAACATTCTATTTTTTATTCTATATAAAGATAGCTTGTTTGCTAATTATTTATTTAATTACAACAGGTGAAAAGGTGAAAGTTTTATTATAAATTTTGATCATTTTTCTGTAGCAATAAAGCAAATAAATAAATATATATATTCAAGTAAAATATCAGTTAAATTCACTTATTTTCACATTAATCACTTACTGGCATTGTTACATAATTGCTTATCAATAACTTACTTGAAGTATAATAGTCTGTTACATTCTTGTTTGCAGTTTCTAGGTTTTTCAGCACCAAACCTACTGTACAAAACAAAAATAAGTACATTAGTGTAAAAAAATTGTTTATTTGCTTCAATATTTATATTCAATATTTATGTCAATATTTATTTATTTACATTTACATTTAGTTATTTAGCAGACACGTTTATCCAAAGCGACTTACACATGAGTGCAATAGAATCAGATAATCAAAACCAACAAAACAGCAATGACTAATGCAGTACATGTAGCAAGGATTTTTATATATATATTTGTAAAAAACAAGCCATTTAGGTTTTAAAGATGTTAGATGGATTCCACACAGCTGCTTCACACGGTCTTAAGAATTGTAATACACTGTATTCTTCATCACTGAAATCTTCTAGAAAGTAAATAAGAAGAAAACATATACATCTTTTTATAGTAATAATAATAAGTAAATATTTAAAGCAAATATATAAAAATGTAATAAAATAAAATATATTTATTTTGTAAATAAATCAATAAACATTTATTTACAATAAATCTATTACATATATTTAGTAAATAAGTAACAATTAATTCTTGTTCACTTCTTTGTACTGTCTCATATTTTTCATTCACTGAAGTGTGATTGCTTTCCTGCCTTCAAAGACTTATTGTAGTGCAAACCAGTAATTGGGGTACAGGTTGTAAAGGAGCATTTCATTGGTTGGACCTATTGAACAAGCACATCCCCTTCACTGAATGAGTCAGTGTTTTTAATCAGAACAAGACTTGAGAATGAACTGGGGCATCTTGTTTGTGAATGAACTAAACAATTAATACATTGAAAATGAGTATCTGCATGTCGTTTCTTCAGTTCAGCATGTGAGTCAGTCTTCTTCACAACAATGATATAATTATTACACAATTATTTAATAAACCTTAGTATATTTGTTAAAGGTGACATGTCATGAAAATCTGACTTTTTTCGTGTTTAAGTGCTATAACCGTGTGCATCTACCAACCTACAAAATGTGGCAACATGTTTCTGCTTCCACTCAAAATAGGCATTTTCAAAATGGTATAATAAATGATCTGTGGGGTATTTTGAGCTGAAACTTCACAGACACATTCTGGGGACACCAGAGACTTATATTACATCTTGTAAAAAGGGGCATTCAATTCAATTCAATTCAAGTTTATTTTTATAGCACTTTTCACGATACAAATCGTTGCAAAGCAACTTTACAGCAAATTAAGTTTCTACAATATTTAGTAGTAGCTTATCAGTGGTGACTGTCAGTTTATATACATATGGCAGAAATGTACGGAAAAATCAATTAAAGACGTAATCAAACAGACGATGAACACTATTAACAGCAATTATTATATGATGCAATCAAACATATAGCAAAATGTGGTAGTTCTGTAAGTTGTTTCAGGGTTGGCATCATCTGAGGTCCTCTGAGGGGTTGGGCATCATCTCTTCTCAGGTGTTCTGGATCCAGACTGAAGCTTGTGGGGATGTCAATCCCGTGGCAAAAACAGAGAAACAAATAGACAGTTATGTCAATTGTAATCTAAAAGTAATTAAAACGTAGTCAGACATTATCTAATATGTGTAATTCAGATTATGCTACTAACTACAATTTTTCATTATGTGATTTGTAATCAGTACAATTTATAAGTAATCTACCAGCACTATACATATACTTATTAATTAACCTATACATTTTAATTATTACAAATCACATATACTTTTTTTATCCACTGTACATTCTACATGTTGATTAAGTAAATGGACTTTATGATAAGTAAATGGACTTTACCATAACTTATCATGATTTATTCTATTTAAACTGTAGCTATGGTTAGATGTTAAATATCTATAAAGTAAAATAATTCTTCACCTTTCAAGGTCAAATGCATGTAATTTTTTTGTGAATCTCATGTAATCCAAATGTACCCAAATCACTTCAAAAGCAGTTCTTGATCAAGTGCCAGTGATTAAAATGAGTTTTGTTGTATTTTAATGCTTTCTTAGACAGTTGTTCGCTCCATTACTTGACCTCAGTCAGGCACATTATGCTCTGCATGTTCTAAATGCCGTCTACATCCATAAAACCTTCCCCTCTGGACAGACATGTTCAGAGAAAAGTCCACCTGTCAGTCTTTATCTTCATCATGCATCATTTATGAGCATAAACTGATTCGATTCAATTAAAGACATAATCAATTAAAGACGTAATCAAACCGATGATGAACACAATTAACAGTAATTATTATATGATGCAATCAAACTTACAGCAAAATGTGGTAGTTCTGTGTGCTGTTTCAGGGTTGGCATCATCTGAGGTGCTCTGAGGGGTTGGCATCATCTCTTCTCAGGTGTTCTGGATCCAGACTGAAGCTTGTGTAAATCCTAGTTACCACGGGATGTCAATCAGAGAAATTGACAAACAGAGAAACACATAGAGACATAATTAGCGTAGCTGCTGTTCCAACCAAGCAAAATGTATTTGTTTAACCCAAACTAAAGAATAATAATGTGCATTTGATCAGATATAACTGCAGTCCAAGATTATGAGATGCATTATTTGAATGCCTGGCCAAAGAGATGTGTCTTTAATCTAGATTTAAACAGAGAGAGTGTGTCTGAACCCCGAACGTTATCAGGAAGGCTATTCCAGAGTTTGGGAGCCAAATGCGAAAAAGCTCTACCTCCTTTAGTGGACTTTGCTATCCTAGGTACTACCAAAAGTCCAGAGTTTTGCGACCTTAGGGAGCGTGATGGATTGTAGCGTGGTAGAAGACTAGTTAGGTACGCAGGAGCTAACGCATTAAGGGCCTTGTAGGTAAGTAATACTATTTTGTAACTGATACGGAACTGAATAGGTAGCCAGTGCAGAGACTGTAAAATTGGGGTAATATGATCATATTTTCTTGACCTGGTAAGGACTTTAGCCGCTGCATTTTGGACTACCTGTAGCTTGTTTATTGAAGATGCAGGACAAGCAGCTAGCAGTGCATTACAATAGTCCAGTCTAGAGGTCATGAATGCATGAACTAGCTTTTCTGCATCAGAAACAGGTAACATGTTTATATATAAGGACATAGGCATAATAGGTGCCCTTTACATATGCATAAAATTAATAAGTCTTCTTGGGTTTTTAAGTCTTGTGTTTTATCAAATTAGTTGAGTGCAGTAAGATTCAGTAACTCACTCATAACACAAAAGATTCTCTTGTGACACAAGGTAACCTATAGAAATGGTCACTGAATGAATCAGAATGAATAACTTTGATGAACAGCTTTGAAAGATTTGAGTAACTGAGATGTATCAAAATCCCCTTCAATAATGCAGTACACATTATACTAGAAATAGCAATCAGCTCAGATTGTAAGGGTGAATCATTGTCTTCCAGCTTCAGCCGAGCACATTGTAGTGCAGTGACAGATAAATGTTCCATGGTGAACGTGTTTTTAATTGTAAAGACCAGAGAATCCACTGATGCCGCTTATAAAGAATGTGGGTGATGCTATACTGCTGCTTTATAAGCTCCGATTTACTGGCTCCTGGATAAATTTGTATTTTACTTGAATCTTTATTCATGTTGAGTCTATATTTAATGTCTATATTTAAGGTGAACAGACAATTTGCATTTGTACTGCAATAGGATACTAAAGCGACTTTTATCTGGTGTTGCAGAGTGATCGTCTCTTGATTAAAGGGGCGAAGATTGTGAACGATGATCAGTCGTTCTGTGCCGACATCTATATGGAAGATGGCCTGATCAAGTGAGTGTAAAATATATTAGCTATACTGTTCCTTTAGTAGTCTAAGATTATAAGGTTAATGTGTGCATAATATGCCCTTATATCATATGACACATGAAGAGATAATGAAATAGCCCTTGAAATTTGGCCCTTAAAATTAAATTAAGATTGCTCAGATTGTATAACTCATATTTCTTTTTTATATCTCACTCACAGGCAGATTGGAGAGAATCTGATAGTGCCTGGCGGGGTAAAAACCATCGATGCTCATGGGCGTATGGTGATGCCGGGTGGCATTGATGTGCACACACGCTTCCAGATGCCTGACAGGGGCATGACTGCTGCTGATGACTTCTATCAAGGCACCCGCGCTGCGCTGGCTGGAGGAACCACCATGATCAGTATGCATCCAACTGTGCTTAGTGTGATGAAGAAACTGAGCCAGGACTAGTTGCTGTTCGCATATCAACCACCCAGAACATCATAGCAGCAACTTAGCAATGCCATAGCAACCACTCAGAAAATGTCATTGCAACTACCTACAACACATAGCAACCATCCAATAATGCCCGTGCTACACCCATGGCAGCCATCAACAATACCATAGCAACACCCTAGCAGCCACCCACAATGCTATAGCAACACCCCAGCGATGCTGTAGCAATCAGCCACAACACCATAGCAACCACTTAGCAAAGCCCTGGCAACCACCCACAACACCATAGCAACCACTAGCAATGCACTGGCAACTGAGCATAACTCCTGGGCAAACACATAGTACCGTATTGGCCCGAATATAAGACGACCCTGATTATAAGACGACCCCCCCTTTTTCCAGATGTACCTTTTGGAAAAAGGCTTTTTAAAAACCAAATCTTGTTTTTTCTCAGTAAAACACATTTTGTCTTCAATTATTTTCATATTGCATATTTTTCCTATTTTAATTTTTGTTTTGAAAGTATGGTAAAAACTGGTAAAATGTACCAACAATCACATTAAAAAAAATATACACTTTTTCTGTTTTTCTAAATTCTGCTGAGGTGAAATTCAGTGCAGTCCCGTATCGTGATATGTATCGTATCGTGACTTTGCTGGTGATACACAGCCCTACAACACATAGCAACCACCTAATAATCTCCTAGTTACACCCTGGCAACCACCACATTGTCACATAGCAGCTACACCATACTGCAACAACTGCCCACAATGCCATAGCAGCCACCTGGCAAATACCAACAATGCCCTAGCAACACCCTGGCAACTACCCGCAACACCTGAGCAAATGCATAGCAATGCTTAAACTACCCAAAACACTCAGCAGCCGCTCATATTTAGGAACCAGAATATTATAGAGATTTGGGCCAGTAAGAAATGCCCTAGCAGCCACCCAAAATGCCATAGCAACCACCTAGCAACACCCCAGTTACAACAACAATTCCATAGCAACCATCTAGCAATGCCATATCAAGCACCACTCATAATTTCTCATATTTGCTTGTGGTCTTAATACAGATAACACAGTTAAAGTGAGAGTTCATCCAAAAATTAAAATTCTGTCATAATTTACTCACCCTCATGTTGCTCCAAACTTATGAGTTTCTTTCTTCTGTTGAACACAAAAGAAGGTATTTTGAAGAATGCTGGTAACCAAACATTTGCGAGTAGCCATTGATTTTAATAGTAATTTATTCCATAATTAGGGCCCTAAGGTTTCCGTGATGTGAAAAACACGGACGGAATCACGGAATCCAGTCATAAAAACAGAATTTACTGTATAACGCGGAATGTCACGGAATTTGCTAAATTGGGGATGAATACATCAAAGTAGGCCAGTTCACTTAAATCAAAACGCGATATGGACTAGTGTCTGTGAATATTAGGCCGCAAAAATACCATTTAAATATGAATCCTGCATGTTTAGTTTACTATATAAATACTGAAGTGTGCGTGATATTCGCTGTGTTTTCATCCTCTGCTGCCTCAATATATGAATACATGAACACATAAACAACTGCTCTGAGAGTCACTTCATGAGCATTTTACCATTTCTTTTGAGAAAAACAATTTTCATGTCATATACAAACAGAAACCTAAAGGTCTTCACAGCAACCTGTCAAAATAAATGTTTGGTTTAACTTGAAGAAACCGTGCTTTTGGTTTAACATTAAGAAACTTAATGTAATGTACTACTACTGCTAATAAAATTATTATTAAAAACATTATTTTTGAAGGAATATTTTCCAGAAAAAATATTTAGCAGAATTTATTTAGCAGAAAAATAAATAATAAATAAATAATAATATTTTTTTTTATATAAAATCAGTTGATTAGAGATGCTTTGGATTATTGATATTTATTGAAACAATTAAAATGGAATCCAGAAAATTAATAGAAAAAAGAATTTGGTAAAAAATGAAACTGAATTTGAGAAAAAAAAACATATTTCATAAGGCCTTAAAATGTAATTTTTCTTAAACTTTTAATAAATTGCTGTTTAAGATGGTAAGTTTTATGATTTGAATGAATTATACATGCTTTTTGATTAATACAATTTAATTTAACCATTAAAACAGAGTCTAGAAAAGAAAAAAAAGGAATCCAGAAGAAGAAAAAAAAGAAAAAAAATGGAATCCAGAAGAAAAGAAAAAAAAGAATTTTGAAGAAAAAATAAAGGAATTTGGGAAAAAATAAAACAGATTTCATAGGGCTCTACATAATATGGATGTCAATGGCTACCAGCAACTGACTGGTTACCAATTTTCATTTTTAGGTGAACTGTTCCTTTAAGCTGTGATTAGAGCAGCTTTTCACGAACTATGCTGCCTTTTCCTAAGTGTTATGAAAGCTGTATTGTTTTGCTGAGTCACCTGTATTGTTTATGATGCAGCCGTCATCGACAGTGCCTGACAGCAGTGCAGACAGGATGGAGACAGTGTGCTTAAAATAGCACGAGACTGTTTTAACATCTCCGTTGCCCTCGTTTCACAGCAGCATTATTAACTGATTTGAGGTACTTATTAATCCGTAGGAGCTCTTTAATATCTGCCTAACCACTGTGTGTGTTTGTGTGTGTGAACAGTTGATCATGTGGTTTCTGAACCCGGGACGAGTCTGATGTCAGCCTTCAACCAGTGGCGGGAATGGGCGGACAGCAAAGCGTGCTGTGACTATTCTCTTCACGTGGATATCACCGAATGGCACAAGGGTGTTCAAGAGGAGATGGAGGCGCTCGTCAAAGATCACGGTAAACCACTGTCAACATCTGTATCTGCTGTACAGTACAAGCCCAGCAGAGCTGGCGAATACGGCATCGCTCAGGAATTCTGCTGCAGTTTCACTGATGTATCACGGACTCCTTCATTGCCCTCTCTGATTTCATCCCCCGGCTTTTGTGTGCAGGCGTTAACTCTTTCCTCGTCTACTTGGCTTACAAAGACGTTTTCCAGCTCACTGATTCCCAGGTATGGCTTCCTCCATGCGTTCTACCTACTTTAGCCTCATGAAACCTGTCAAAAACACACCCAGGTCATATTTAACCACAAAATCAAAAAGAGAAAAATAAAAATGATGAAAATTAAGCCTGTTTTTTGGAACAATAATGCAAAATATTTGAATGGTCCTAAAATATACTTTATATATTTATTTATTTATTTATTTAGTCATTTAGCAGACGCTTTTATCCAAAGCGACTTACAAATGAGGACATTTATATACAAATAAATATATTTTTATATTTATTTTATATATATTTTGGTTACACTTTATTTTAAGGTGTCCTTGTTACAGTGTAATTATACATTTAAGTACTGAAGAATATTAATTAACTACATGTACTTACTTTATGGTTAGGGTTAGAATTAGGGTTACCTACATTGTGCATAATTTATTGTTATTATAATAGTAAGTACATGTAACGTGCAACAAGGACACCGTAAAATAAAGTGATACCTATGTATTTTTTTTTATTTTGCGATTTAATATGACTTTGCCTGTCTATGCACTTACAAAATATCATGGTATTACCATGGTTTTAGACATGCATCATATTTTTAAGTACATTCATTCATTCATTCATTCTTTCTTTCTTTCTTTCTTTCGTTCATTTATTTATTTATAAATTTTTTATTTATGAGTTTTCAATTTAATGTGGCATTTATTTTCTGAAAAGGAATCCTGACTATGCATTTACACACAAAAAAAACATGATATTGGTATTGTGACTTTGCCTGGCTATGCATTTACCAAAAAACATTTATTTATGTATGTACTGTATGTATGTATATATTTATTTATTTATTTTAAAACTTTAAAATTTTTAATTAATTTATTTATTTATTTAACATTTATTCTTTTTACATGTTTTATTGAAAATTATTTCAATGGTTTTAAGTTACAGTGGATTTATTTATTCATTCATTTGGCCATTCACTTAGACATTTCATTTGATTTAGATTTTTTGGAAAAACCTGACAACAAAAACTACCATAGTAGTACCATGGTTTTTATATGTACCATATTGAAACAGCTGTATTTTTTTTTTATTTGTTTTGTTTTGTTTTAAGTATATTACAGTATTGTACTCCAGTGTACCTAAAAAAAAATACCATGATTTCTCCCAGAGAATACTTTAATTCGTATCGGTCAAACATGGAATTTGGCAGTCAAAATATGACAAAATATGACAAAAAATTCTGCCATCTGTTAACATCACAGTACCATGGTTCCACTTTTATGTGGCACAGTACCAAGTTTTTGGGGGGTTGGGAGTTTATGTTGTAATTACTAATGACAATTGTGCCGAAAAGTTAAGAAATCTAAACAGAGTCCCTTGGCAATTTATAAACAGATGATGCTTGAATAGTCTGCCAGTGACCGTTGCATCTGTTTTAAGCATGCTTCGCCATTTGCCATTGCTTTCTGAGTGTCAGCATTTGTGTAACTTCAGTTGTGTTTATGTGCAGATCTACGAAGTGTTCAGTGTCATCCGGGACCTCGGGGCCATCGCTCAGGTCCATGCTGAGAACGGAGACATCATAGCCGAGGTGAGATCTTCAGAGAGGCTGCACCGTCCAGCACTGAGCTCCATTACTCAGAGTTACTATCAACAATAAACTGTTTGGAGATGTTAAATCAAAACATATGCTCCACAACGAACGCTCAGACTTTATACTGGCAAGCAAAACCAAAGCAAATATTCCTACGTGAGGCTGATGTAATTAATTGCAGATGACTTTTGGCTCACGGTTATGTGTATTTATCATGATCAAGATAAGCAAACTCTTTGTAATGAAGACATTTTTAATATGTACAGTATATATCGAGACTATGACATAATTATTGAAAGATTCAGCGATCTCATGCTACTCGTATCATCCCATCCTGCTCGTTTTCTGTCTTTCTTTCAACAGGAGCAGTGCAGGATTTTGGAGTTGGGTATCACTGGACCAGAGGGACATGTCCTCAGTCGTCCAGAGGAGGTGAATGGCAGGGAATTCTGGGAAAAGTCATCCATTTTCCCATGTTTTCCCAAGAAAACGTGTGCTGACTTGGCTTTATCGATCATTTAGGTGGAGGCGGAGGCAGTGAACCGCTCAGTAACAGTGGCCAATCAGACCAACTGCCCTCTTTACATCACCAAAGTGATGAGCAAGAGTGCCGCTGATGTCATCGCCCAGGCCAGGAAGAAAGGTGAGAGCCAACTCCATTTTCAATATGGTGAGACTTCAGTGGATCCAAACCTAGTGGAAACATTCAAGGTTGAATTACCACCATGGAAGAACATTCTGAGGCGGTTTGATCTAATTCCATTCAAATGAGGCATTATTATTACGTCTGGACAAGCAAGGCAGGTTTTATGAACTGGGATGCATTGCAGTCCTGCAAAAAAATAATAATAATACAGCATCTATGACTCGATGATGTTCTTGGCTAGACGGCAAGAAATGACATCATGGCGGTCGGGCTCCAGAATCAGGGCAAGGGAATTACAGTGAAATTATATATGCCTATTCCTAATTCGGTATCTTTGAACCATTTAGGCACCGTTGTGTACGGAGAGCCAATCACAGCAAGTCTTGGTACGGACGGCTCGCATTATTGGAGCAAGAACTGGGCCAAGGCCGCCGCCTACGTCACGTCTCCACCCTTGAGTCCGGATCCCACCACACCGGACTATCTCAACTCACTGCTATCATGGTAGTATGCTGTTTATTTGTAGCATGCATTACTGATTTGATTTGCTACAGTGGTTGAGCCCTGTAATAAGTGTACCATAAGAAATGAAACTGGTTCATTTGTGGGGTCTGAGAGCGGTTCATTAAAAAAAAAAAAAAATAGGCTAATGTGTGTATGTTCCATATTACCTCAAATGGCTTTAAAGTGAACTGAAGGGTTGACTTTAAGTTTAGGAGTTGACTTGAAGTCTGCAGTATAGTTTATTTTTTAAAGATGTGTTAAGTAAAAAAATAATAAAAGTATTATTATCACAAAATAATATTTAAAGTGAAAAATTGAAGATTAAATTGAAGAAATTGTTGTTTTGTTTTTGTTTTTATTAGCAATATAACAATTATTATGATCATATATGATATGTATTACATACATTATATTTATAATATAATATGTATTATTAATATTATTATATTCATAATTATTATAGTATTTTATTACAAAATAAATTAATTCCAAAATAATATTCCACTTGAAGCAAAAAAAGTATTTTAGTATGTATATTTATTAGCAATATCAATTATAACAATTATTATTATTAAGTATAAAATTTAACATGCACAATATATTACACAATTATATTCTAAGTGAAGAATTAATGATTAAATTAATGAAATAGATTGATGAAATTATTGTTTTGTTTTTTATTAGCAACATAACTATTATTATTATCATCATCATCATCAGTATTATTGTTATTATTATTACATATGATATTTATTATATACATTGTATTTATTATATATAATACAGTATATTATTAATATTATTAATTGTATTTAATGATTATTATAGTATTTTATTACAAAGCAAATGAACTACAAAATAAAATTATTGTATTTTTGTATGTATTTATATTAACAATATTAATTATAACAATTATTATTAGTAGTAGTATTAGTAGTATTAGTATTAATTGCAAGGCAATAATAATAATAATAATAATAATGTATTCCATTAATAATTATTATATGATTGTAATATTTTTTAGTATTTAATTTATTGTTATCAATTTAATAGTGCAAATAATTATGATACTACTACTACTAACAATGTCCAGATATCCAATGGAATATCCAAAATATAATATTAAATAATTTAATAAATACCCATTATTATTATTATTTACAATAACAACAATGAAAGTATTATTATTATTATTATTATTATTATTAAATCTGAGGCACTTTTAGGGCCAAAAACAGTGTGAATGAAAAAAGTGGGATTTTAGAACATGTTTGCTCTGAGATTATTTCTTTTAAAGAGGACACACTTGTGAAAAGGGTTCGCTAAGTGGATAAATATAAATGTTTGTAGAATAGACTCAATTGTTTGGTCCCAGCTTGAAATTTGTCTCCTCACCCACTTCCTGCTTCAGTGGAGAGCTGCAGGTAACAGGAAGCGCTCACTGCACCTTTAACACCGCCCAGAGAGCTGTGGGCAAAGACGACTTCACCCTCATCCCTGAAGGAACCAATGGCACTGAAGAAAGGATGTCTATCATCTGGGACAAATGTGTGGTGAGGCAGAAATACTAGAATGCAAATAATAAGGGGAGACATTTAATCACAAGCTGCCACGGTGCAGCATCTACACGTCCTTCAGTCATATAAACAAAATCAGTCAGTGGCCATGTGAGTCTAAATAGTCCCAGCCGAACAGACAAGCACACTCAAGTGAACACAAACACAACCGACACAAACTCATCTCTCCCTGTGGTCCCCCTCGTTCGTAGGTAACTGGAAAAATGGACGAAAATCAGTTTGTGGGCGTCACCAGCACCAACGCCGCTAAGATCTTCAACTTGTACCCGCGCAAGGGCCGCATCGCCGTGGGTTCAGACGCCGATCTGGTTCTGTGGGACCCTGATGTCACGAAGATCATCTCAGCGAAGAGCCACAACCTGGTGAGTTAGTGTGCAGGATTCATTGGTGTTTATGTGGTTTACGTCCCTCAGTGTAGTTACCATTGAGGAAAGTTGTGTTCTTGTGAAGGTGGTATGCAGTCCTGACCAGAGAACTCTGGTTGTTCTGACCGAATGTTGGGTGTGGGTTATGTTACTCATGCGAGTGATGTCATTCTCAGCTCTGCTGGGTAATTGATGTCTCCCTCCTGCTTTGGAGGCGTAACAGTGCACACAACACATAACCACGAGGATCTCTTTTTTTAATGTCTTCTCTTTGTGTTTGTGAGATTATAACACACTGGCTTTTCGAGAGTTGTGCTCTTTTGTTTAACTACATGTCTTAGTTTAGAAGCAAAAGTGTGTTAGATAAATATTGTAAATAGTGTATTAATATAATATAAATATTAAAGAGATGGTTCACCCAAAACTTCTGTCATTAATTACTCACCCTCATGTTGTTCTAAACCCGTAAGACTTTCATTCATCTTCAGAACACAAATTAAGATATTTTTTCTTTCTGACCCTCCATATACAGCAATATAACTACCACATTCAAGACCCAGAAAGCAGGCAAGGACATCATTAAAATAATCCATGTGACGTCAGCGGTTCAACCTTAATCTTATGAAGCCACATGGACTATTTTAACAATGTCCTTACAACCTTTCTGGACCTTGAACATTTCAGTTGCATTGCTGTCTATGCAGAGTCAGAAAGCTCTCAGATTTCATCAAAAATATCTTAATTTGTGACAAAGATGAACGGAGGTCTTATGGGTTTGGAACTACATGAGGGTGAGTAATTAATGACAGAATTTTCATTTTGGGTGAACCATCCCCAAATATCTTAAAGGGATGGTTCACCCAAAATGAAAATTCTGTCATTCTATGTAAATAATGTAAATAATACCCGTAATGTATATACAAATCATTTGTATATACATTACATGTATTATTTACATTTATAATTAATAATAGCATTAATAATTAATTTATATATGTAATTTATAGTTTCATATATTTCTTTTTGAAGCTGTTTAGATTTAATATTAATAATCAATTTACAATAAGTAATGTAATGTATAATAATGAATAATATAAAATATACTTGTTTTTTAAAATATGTCTGGACTTATTAAAATATATATCTGGGCTTTTTTAAATCACATATACAAATAGTTTTGTCCCCTTCATTTTAAGCGTATTATGCTTTAGACAAGAAAAAATGGTTTTGCAATGAATAAAACAGAATTTTTTATAATCAGATAAATGATATAAATCACTGAAAATACACTACTGTTCAAAAGTGTGAGGGCACTAAGAGTTTTTATAAGAAACTTTTACTTTTATTAAGCAAGGATGCATTAAATGGATCAAAAGTGGCAGTAAATATTTTTACATTGTTACAAAAGAATGTATCACTGTGTCCACTAAAATATTCAGCAACAACAGCAAAAACAATGCTTTCAACATTGATAATAATAATAAATGTTTCTTGAACGGCAAATCAGCATATTAGAATGATTTCTGAAGGATCATGTGACACTGAAGACTGGAGTAATGATGCTAAAAATTCTATTAAATAAAACATATTGAATTAGAAAATAGTTACAATAATATTTCACAATATTACTTTTTTACTGTATTTTTTTATCAAATAAACAGCCTTGGTGAGCATGAGAAACTTCTTATATAGTTTATTTTGTTTTAAAAATGTCTAGAAAATTTTCCTGGGAAACAAAACAAAAGTCCTGATTAAGACAACGGCTAACACACCGTGGCGTCGGTGTGTTAGCATGTGTGTGTTGATTATCAGACTCTGATGCTGTTTTTAGGTCTTGTGGGACGAACTGTATTGCTTTAAGCAAAGCGCCAGTAGCATTTAGAAGGGTGGTCACACTTTTGCCAGCACACACACAAAAGAAATCATCATTTAAAAACTGCATTTTGTATTTACTTGAATTATCTTTGTGTAATATTAACATTTGTTTGAGGATCTGACTCTTTTAAGTGTGAAAAATATGCAAAAAAAAAAAACAGGAAGGAGGCAAAACCTTTTCATGGCACTATATATATATATACTGTATATATCATTGTTTTTATTGTTGATTTTATAGAATACTGATTTTAAAAATTATTAATATTTATTATTCATAAATAAATAAATAGATTACCCATTTATTCTGTAAATATACTTATTCATAAATTAAAATGTTATGCCCATTAATATAAATATCACTTAATTGCTATTAAATGTTTTCTTCATTAATGTTTAACTGTAGATTTCTAAATGTTTGAGGTTATCAGATTAGCTGTGTTTTATTAACATTATCATGCACTGTTGTTTTGTAGCTTGCTGAACTGAGGGGCGTCCCACGGGGTCTCTATGACGGCCCGGTCTGTGAAGTCTCAGTGACGCCCAAAGCTGTGACCCCTGCTTCCTCTGCCAAAACTTCTCCTGCCAAGCAGCCCTCTCAACAGCTCCGCAACCTGCACCAGTCCGGCTTCAGCCTCTCCGGTGAGCACTTTGCAAAAATCTAAACCAAAAAATCAATAGAGATGCATGATATGTCATTTCCATATAGGCTGATATTTTATTTTTTTAACGCATCATTAAATATAAATGAAGTAGTATTAAATAAAAAGAAAATATTTTAGTTGCTTAGTACTAGCCAGAATTGTAATAATACTGAGAGATTTGTTGTTTTCATATTATTCACAGTAATATATAATAATAATAATAATTAATATATTCAATATTTATACACCATAAGGTTGATTTCCTTTTGATTTGTCTTATTTCAGGCGCTCAGATTGACGACAATATCCCCCGCCGTAACACCCAGCGCATTGTTGCGCCCCCTGGTGGCAGGGCCAACATCACCAGCTTGGGCTAGACGCCCTCCTCCAGCCGACAGGAGAATAGGGGGTTGGGGGAGAGGGATGTCTATAACGGAGGTGTTTGCCACCTTGCCACATCAAGAACCCTTCACAGGGCCTATGATTTTCCACTTCCTCCCAACCCCTGAGCTCTCGCCCGATTCCCTTGTTTTTCTTTTCCCAACCTCACACCACTTCCTAAAGGAGACATCTAGAGAGAAAAAAAACAAAGTATTTGCCTCATGTGAAGAGAGAAGGAAAAAATTTAACATCCACATTTGAGCACTTCTGATTGTATGATTTTTATACTGTACTTTCTACCCACCACGAGTCATGTTATCATTTTTGTATTTAACTTTATTTGCTTTTTGAAATCAAAGGGATCAAGTGCGTGTATTAGAAAAGCTGTTTATCATTGTTACTTATTAACAAGGTAAGGGTTAGAGTACTGGCTTTCTTGTGTCATTGTGGCTAAAAGTCTATTACACTAGGAATGTTGTAATTTTTGGAAATCTTTTATTACGTTTTTTACTCAAACAATCAGTTTACATCAGTATGAACACCTGACCATATTCCGCCCATGCCCTTTCCGTGGCATTCAATGCGATACTTTCTGTACCGGTCAATAAAAGACAGCTTTTCCAGTGGTCGCTGATTAAAAACCATGTGTTGTTTCACAACTAGAGATATTTAATTAACACTGTTAATGTAACTGAAGAAGAAACCGCATGTAAAAACACGGAGCTTAGCAAAGTTGGAGAAAATAAGAGAGGACCGCAAATGGTTATAGCTGGAAACCTCCCCTGTTTTGCCCTCAACCCCCTTTTTTTTTTTCTTTTTTTTTTGCACAAGCTGCTTTAATACGTAAAGTTTAAGAAGAGGATAAAGTCAAGATTGTATTTGGTCATGAGAAAAGTGAGCTGTTTAGCTACTGAACAATTTTGAATTTGTGTCAGAACTGGTGAAAAAAGTCTGAATTTGTGAGATAAAAAGTTGCAATTTCTTTTTAGCTTCCAAAGTTAGCTAAAGAAAATGCTGTTACGTCACTTTTAAAGAACAACGTGAATGTAACTCCATGAAATTAGCAGCAATTTCCTAATGCACTAAAGCCCAAAGTATACTTAAGTGTTAACGCAAACACTTGCCGAATGTTTACAGCCGAACATGTTGCCTATCAAAGTATATTTCATTTCATAGCGTGCGCAAACATAGCCACATGCGGAGTAGAACTGAACTAAAAACTTGACATGTTGCCACCTTGTGGACAAAGTAATTAGTGCAAAAAAATGTGCATTAAAAAAACCTCAGTGTGCATGTGTGAGCTGAGCTTAAAGAGTTGTGATTACAAAAATCGGGCTCCACGCATACTAAGTAAACTTTGGGCTGAGAGTCAAACCCCCAGATGGATGTTTCTGTAAGTTTGGTTACAGCGCAAAACATGTGAGTTGTGAGATTTGACGGTATTGAGTGACTATGCCGCTACTTTCTATGTCAACAAGTGTGATATCGCAGACCTTACGCTAATGTGTCTTTTTTGTATCTTTAACTCCAAGCTGTGCCTGGGATGTGCTGATCATGTTGAGTACTTCTACAAGAGCTTGTTCATGTTTTTTGTTCGAAACAACTCAAAGGCTGTTAAAAGTAAAATAGCCGGTTAACCGATACAAAGGTGCCAGATTTTTCTCTTTACTCGTCATAGTGCTTTTGAAAGGCTTTTTAAAGAATGAGTTATCACAGCGCCATTTTGAATGTCAACATCCATTTTAGTGCCGTAGTAAAATGATACATACTGTAATAATATCATTAAAATAAAAGTTAAAAGTTAAAGGTGATTTTCAACAACCGCACCTGTGGCAGCTCCATGTTTGCGTGGTGTTATTTTATTTTATCAAAGAATGAATGAGAGGTTTTTTTTTTAATCTGTTTGTTTTTCTTTCAAGTTTCTTCCAACCTAAAAAAAAAACGTCCTAAAAAAAAGGGCAATGCACTGAGCAGCTAGTACTCTAGGTTAGCTAATACAGCTAGCACAGTGTCAGTTTTCTTCTGTGTTTGACGCATTTCCTTTTGAAACAAGAAGTTTGGACTGGATACACTGAAGGGATCATCTCTTTATTTGAAAGAACCAGGCTTTAGGTATGTCAGTCATTTATAATGATTTGGTATTTAGTAACACTAGTTGGTTGCTTGGTATTGGGGGAGGGACACTCATTCTCGAGAGCATTTGATTGGACAAAAATCAGTGTAGTACAATATTAGTCATCAATCATTTTTATTATTTTGCTGTTAGGAGAAAGACCTTTGAAGTGTTTTATCTGCTTATGAGTACACTATAGATTAGTTAGTAGATATATCGCCACAGGACTCTTAAAGTAACGATAATCCACATTTTGTGGATGGTGCTAAAGCTTATGTTCAGCTCAGACAAAGAAGGCATGGTAGAAAGTAAAAATGGTAATAAAAAGACATTAACTGGTCTTAATGTGCCTTGCTTAAATCTCACTATGATTTAGCAATGGCGGGACTTTTTTGTATAGGCTAGTCTGTTTTTCATTTAGTAAACCCGTCCTCCAGCTGTTTTCTTTTCCCTCATGCACATAATCTTGGCCGGTATCATCATTCTCCATTGCTTGCCTTTTCCTCTGTGACTAACAGAGAAACACACACACAAGCTCTGATTCATTCCAGCGCCGACAGGGTTTAAACTTAAATGTTTAGTGCTGCTTGGTTGTTGTATACTTATTGTGTAGCCTACTGGAAGACACACAGTTGACTGTTCCAAACTGAGGATATGGAGCTCCTAAATGGACTTTGTGTTGGGGATGTCAGTGCTTTTGAATTTTTGTGTTCCCCAGAGAAACTTTGCATTCGCTTGTAAAAAAAAGGTTAACAGAACACCACCCTGTACTCACTCAAATGTCCCATTTTAGTTTCAGTCATGTCCTTTAGGTTCGTTAAAGAATCGTGAGTTAAGCGGAACTACAGCAAGAGAAAAGTCGGGCCGTCGTTTAGTGAGCTGTCCGAATGTGTATCTCTCAAATGGAGGAGGGTGACGCGAGGTTATAATGATTCATTCGTCTGTTCGCAGGGACTGATGTGTTAATAGTGGCCGTTGCAGGCCCCGTAGAGTCTTTCACCTCATGACTGTTGATTGTTTTCTTTCTTCCTGTTTCTTGTTCATTACTTACTGACCTCATTGCTTTTCCACTGTTACTATGACGACTGTCCCTGCTAGACAACAGGATCTAACTCTTTTATTTGTCATGGCAACACATTACACATCGGAAGCATACCCTTAGCAACTCTTCTGGGCCTGGTGCTATTAAAACAACACTGAATGGCTGGATCATTTCAACTAAGTTGCGATTACAGTGTAGCCTAACACAAACCATATACAGTACCCACCATTAAAAAAAGACAGCCGCCATCGTCCTTTCCCGCCTTTCTTGCATGGTGGCACATTCTGAATTGTAGGTTGATGGTTTGAGAAACAATTTTCTTCTTTGGTATTTTTGTCTTTTAAAAGAAAAAACTTACTGAGATGGAAAACTGAATAAAAAAGTTAAGGTAATACATTTAATTCAAGATAAATTCAGAGAAAACCAGTCTTACTCTAATTTAACATTTTGTTTAATTTGTATTTGTGTATATCAGATTTGTGCTTCTCAGATTTAAATTGAATGATTAGTTTAATTTATATATATATATTTTTTAAAAAGTCAAAAATGTGAAGATATTTTATTTCATTGAAGTTGGTGTGAAAATATGGCATAAATTGAGAACAGAATTGTCCTATGTGAGATTTCAATGTCTTTTCCTTATCGATCATATGAGCATATGCAAGAGTTCAAATGAAACATGCCTTAAGCATTTCCTCTGATCCCAGAGCAGCTGTTGGCACTAACACTACACACACATACACACACACACTTTGCTATGTACGCTCGAATGTTCTTCTATGCGTGGTATGTAATCTATGTAAAATGCAGATGGGAACTGAAAGATTGTTCAGTCTGAGACTGCCAATGATTTATAATCCCAAACCCCCTCTTTCCCCACTCCAGAAGTGAACGTGTCATGTGCTGGTGTTTATTCTGTTGGCTGTGCTGTTTGAGGATGTTTGCTTGCTCTTGAAAATGTGTCAAATCCCTTGGATGGTGATGTTACAAAAAGGAAAATTAATAAAAGGAAAAAAAAAGAAAGACATTTATTCTTCTCTGTTCTTAAATTTCAGCCATTTGTACAATTTATATAATAAATAATAATGCATCAGGAATTAGAATGCACCAGAATTAAGTAGACTAATGTAGAATTAAGTAGACATCTTACACATACACTGACTCCTTTTATAGTCTGTTAACATGATATCATCAAATTCATCATATATCATATCATGAGATGTGATATTTGAATCATATATATATATAT